GTTCACCTATCATTATACTCTTATTTATGTCGATCAAGATGGCCATTTTTTTTGCTCAGTAATGCTTTTTGCTCTTCTGCTTTTATACCTGTTTGGCAAAACAAATGGTATAATGTTCTCTACTAATCCAGTTTTACATTTTCATACTAAGTATATCCATTTGTATATTCTAAATGCGGGGGATACTATTCTTTAGAATCTGCTTTCCTTATCTTTATTGTTCATGCTTACTAATGTTACTTAACCACACGAGGCCCCTGATTTTTCTGGATTGTTTTGTTTTGTTTTTTCAAGACAGGGTTTCTTTGTGTAGCCATGACTGTCCTGTGCACCACCACTCCTGGCTTCTGATGTTTCTTTTCTTTTTTTTAAGGTTACTTATTTAATGTATGTGAGTGCTCTACTGCATATATATGTGCCTGGCAGAGTAAGACCCCAGTGTAGATGGTTGGGAGCCACCATGTGGTTGCTGGGAATTGAACTCAGGACCTCTGGAAGAGAAGACAGTGCTCTTAACCACTGAGCCATCTCTCCAGCCCCGTGATGTTTCTTCTTAATGTTATATAGCATGCTGCTTGTTCCAGCTGTGTCATAATGAGGGTTTAAAAAACAAAACAAAAACGCTAGAAGCCTGGTGGTGGAAACTCGGAAGGCAAAGGCAGGCGGATCTCTGAGTTTGAGGCCAGCCTGGTCTACAGGCTGAGTGCTAGGACAGCTAGGGCTACACAGTGAGACCCTGTTTTTTTTTAAAAAAATTTATTACAATTTATTTCTTTTGTATCCCAGCTGTAGCCTCCTCCCTGATCTCCTCCCAATCCTGCCCTCCCTCCCTCTTCTCTTCCCATGCCCCTCCCCCAGTCCACTGACAGGGGAGGTCCTCCTCCCCTTCCCATCTGACACTAGCCTATTAGGTTTCATCAGGACTGGCTGCCTTGTCTTCCTCTGTGGCCTGGTAAGGCTGACTGCCCCCCCCATGGGGAGGTGATCAAAGAGCCAGCCACTGAGTTCATGTCAGAGACAGGCCCTGTTCCCATTACTAGGGAACCCCCTTGGAGACTGAGCTGCCCTGGGCTACATCTGTTCTGGGGTTTTGGTTACCTCCCTGGTCCTTGGTTGGAGTATTAGTCTCAGAAAAGACCCCAAAACCCTTTCTTTAAAAACCCAAACAAAAAAATGGCATGGTGGCCCACTCCTTTAATCCCAACACTTGGGGAGCAGAAGCAGGATAGCCAGGGCTAAGAAGAGAAACCTGTCTTGAAAAACAAAACAACAACAAAAAAAAAAAAAGTAGAAAAATATTTAAGACAATACAGAGATATAAATGAGGAAATAAGCCAGGTCTGGTGAGGTGCACATCTTTATAAAATCCCTAGGGATTAATGCACTAGGGAAGCAGAAGTAGGCAGATTTCTGAGTTCAAAGCCAGCATGATATGTACAGCAAATTCCAGGAAGGGCTTTGTTACATAGAGAAGTGCTGTGGCTCGTGGGGAGGATAAAATATGTATAGAATGAAAGAAACAGGAGACAGTCAGGAAAAATTAGAACTGTCTCAACAGAAAATTCTGAGCTAAACCACTTCTGCCAATGCCTTGTCTCTAATAAACATATAAACATATATCTAAGTAAAGATGTTTTTTCTTAATTAAAGGTAGTTTTTTTGAGAACAACTGACTTTTACTTTTTAATTTTCATTGTTATCTTTATTTTTATACTTCTATAAGCTTTTACTGTTGCCTTGTGTTATAATCATTTCTTTAAACTGAATTAATTGAAAATTATTTGCCTTATTTTCCCACAAGTTCATTGTGTTTACATTGAGCTAATAACTCTTGGGACTGCCCTAAAGAGATAATCTTACCCATATTAGAGGTTTTTGGAGCAATAATGCTTTGTAAATCATAAATGATTTATTCATTTTTTTTTTAACATGCATTGATATTTTGCCTTCCTGTCTGTGTGAGAGTGTAAGATCCCCTGGAATTGGAGTTTTTTTTTTTTTTTTTTTTTTTTTTTTGTGAGCTGCTGTTTGTGTGGAATTGAACTCAAGTCCTCTGGAAGAATAGCCAGTGCTCTTAACTGCGAAGCCCATAAAATGGATTTTTTTTTTTTTTATAAAATGGATTTTTATAGCAGTGTAATAAGCAAAGAAATTATAAGATGTCTACTCTGCTTTCTTCAAAAACTTCTATTAAACGGGCTTTTAGAGAATTCTTTTAAATAAAAATTCTATTTGGGGAAAACAAAATCAGTGTTTCTTAGCCTGTGGCTTAATGAAAGTATCCTAAGGAGTATGTATCCCTTTCATATACTAAGCAGTGCCCAGCGGTTCAATACATCTTCATGTTTAAATACTTTTCTTATTAATAGATACTGTGATTCTAATTAAAGTAAAGATACAAACTTTTTTTTGTTCTGCTTTGGTGTTTTGTTTTTTGGGGTTTTGTTTGTTTGTTTTTTTGTTTTGTTTGTTTTTTTTTTGTTTTTTTGTTTTTTTGGCTTTTTTGAGACAGAGTTTCTTTGTGTAGCTTTGGCTTTGACTATCCTAGAACTGAGGATTTGTGTGTTTTTAATGAATTACAGAAACATAACAACAACCAGCAGGATTTCTTGAAACTTCTTTTTTGAGTTGAATTCTTAAATTAAAAAGGTCTAATTTGATCTTTGACTCATAAAGTTATTTCTTAGGCCATATGGCTTTCTATAGGATAATCGGAATATTAACCAGCTTAAGCGATTATAAGGAACTTGGATAAACCTGCCAGTAACTTAAGCAGTCCCAGCTAGTGTTAAGTACCTGAAATCTGACAGGGCTGGTGAACTGAACTTTGTATTGTTTGTAGCCTTCTCTCAGTTGATGTTTGTGCTTCTTCTTTTAATGGAATTGGAAGAATGTTTCTGCTACTTTCATCTCCAAAGTTGATCTTGAGAGAGCCCTTTGACAAATTAGAAAAAATTCTCTATTAAAGATCTACAACTGTGTGGATTTTGGAGACAAAATCTAGCTCCTACTTTTCTGGGTCAGGTTGTTACAGACTAGAAGTTTTAGTCTACTTCCTCATATACTATCCTTCCTTCTATGGTTTAAGAATTTGTTCTTTTCTTCCTTTGCTCGATTGTTTGAGACAGGGAGTCTTGTTACTCCTAGCTGGCCTTGAGTTTGCTGTGGAGCAGAGGTTCACCTTGTACAGATCCTCCTGCCTTTACCTTCCAAGTGCTGAGATTACAGTCATGTAGCGCCAGCTCCACTTTATTTACTTCTATTATAAGCTAGATATAACACTTTTCAAAGTTTCATGTATTGTGGACTGAACTTGGATGAAGTAAAATCTTTGAAATAAGACAACCCTGATGATAAAAATGGAAAAGAAGCCTGTGAAATTTGAGGCCCTTCAGAACTAAGTTTTAAAATCGTTGCCTAAACATTGAAATGCCACCATTTGTTGTTTAGGGGGACATGGGGCTAAATTGAGAAGGGAGGACACATCTGCCTTGGTTGCTAAGTATATCCATCCATCTCAACAGCTCACTTATAATAGAATTTTTATTCTTGCTTTCATCAGTCTTGGTTTTAGCAACAGTGTTTTCACCCTTTGGCCCTGGGGATTGAACCCATATTGTTACACATGCTAGGTAAGTCTGCCACTGAACCTACAACCCCTCAAGGATGTAAGGGAGTGAAGAGAGCTATCCTGCATCGCTCTCCTTCCCGTTCTTCTGACTTTGTGTCACCAATAGACAGATACCTTTTTCATTAAGATCGTTATTGGCTTTGTGTTTTTTTTTTTTTTTTTTTTTTTTTTTTTTTTTTTTTTTTTTTTT